TATCTGCAATAAACTGCAAACGAATCCCTACTGGAAACCACCAAGGTCATCTTAAACTTTACATCAGCTAACTTAATGAATTAAGGTAAAGGAGGCCTTGTTTCAACTGCCAAGTGGAAGGAAATAAGTAATTTGGAGTAAGAATGAAGAATTGGTTTTGACAAACTCAGACAAATGATAATCCCGAAAGTACAGAGCTTCTTCCAACTTTTTAAAAATACACTTTCAAAATTTCTGCTTGCCCTCATTTCCTCCCACCCTCTTTCCTCCTGTCCCCTTCTTTCCCTTCCCCCCCTTCCCCCCCCCCCCCCCCCGGCATGTACAGAATTTGACTCTTCTAATTCCAGAGTAGAGATCACAGGAAATCCCTGTTCTCACGTAAAATGAAAGTGAAACGAAACTAGACACAGACTCAAAATGCTTAGCTCAGAATACTTACAGTTGAAAAAACATATAAAAATTATTAGAAATGACAAACATCTCTCTTAAAGCATCAGAGACCGTTAGCTTTAAATGTAAACCTTTGCCTTCACCAGTTTCTTCATTTTAAGTACTTAACAGCCCCTAGTTCATAACACAGACAATACTAAATTTTCAGAAGGATTAAAGATCTACTATAAAGGCCAACACAAAAAGGAAGCAAAAATTATACGTTTTCTTCTTTTTTTAATTTATATTTTAATTTTTGGCTGCATTGGGTCTTCGTTGCTCGCGCAGGCTTTCTCTAGTTGCAGCGAGCGGGGGCTACTCTTTGTTGCGGAGCGCAGGCTTCTCATTGCGGTGGCTTCTCATTGTGGAGCACGGGCTCTAGGTGCGCGAGCTTCAATAGTTGTGGCATGCGGGCTCAGTAGTTGTGGCTCAAAGTCTCTAGAGCACAGGGTCAGTAGTTGTGGTACACAGGCTTAGCTGCTCCGTGGCATGTGGGATCTTCCCGGGCCAGGGCTTGAACCTGTGTCCCCTGCATTGGCAGGTGGATTCTTAACCACTGCGTCACCAGGGAAGCCCTAGGGTAAGTGCTTTTTAAGTTTAGGATGGGAGAGCTTTTCTGATCAAGCCACAGAATCCAGAAGTCTCAAAGGAAAAACAACAAATTTGACAACATAATCTTTAATGTTTTTTCCATGGCAAAAGGTAAAAATCAGCAAAGTTAAAAGATACGGTATGGGAACTTGCCCTGATGGCACAGTGGTTAAAGAATCTGCCTGACAATGCAGGGGACACGGGTTCGAGCCCTGGTCCAGGAAGATCCCCACAGAATCCAGAAGTCTCAAAGGAAAAACAACAAATTTGACAACATAATCTCCACAGAATCCAGAAGTCTCAAAGGAAAAACAACAAATTTGACAACATAATCTTTAATGTTTTTTCCATGGCAAAAGGTAAAAATCAGCAAAGTTAAAAGATACGGTATGGGAACTTGCCCTGATGGCACAGTGGTTAAAGAATCTGCCTGACAATGCAGGGGACACGGGTTCGAGCCCTGGTCCAGGAAGATCCCCACAGAATCCAGAAGTCTCAAAGGAAAAACAACAAATTTGACAACATAATCTTTAATGTTTTTTCCATGGCAAAAGGTAAAAATCAGCAAAGTTAAAAGATACGGTATGGGGACTTGCCTGGTGGCACAGTGGTTAAAGAATCTGCCTGACAATGCAGGGGACACGGGTTCGAGCCCTGGTCCAGGAAGATCCCACATGCCGTGGGGCAGCTAAGCCTGTGCGCCACAACTACTGAGCCTGTGCTCTAGAGCCTGCGAGCCACAACTACTGAGCCCACACTCTGCAACGAGAAGCCACCGCAGTGAGAAGCCTGCGTACCACAACGAACAGTGGCCCCCACTTGCTGCAACTAGAGAAAGCCCAGGTGCAGCAACAAAGACCCAACGCAGCCTAAATAAATAAATAAGACATGGTATGGAGCAAATCAATCAGTGTGCTATACCATATCAACAAACTGAAGAATAAAAACCATATGACCATCTCAATAGATGCAGAAAAAACTTTTGATAAAATTTAGCACCCAAACTTATGATAAAAACTCTCCAGGAACTGGGCACAGAGGGAACATACCTCAACATAATAAAGGCTGTATATGACAAACCCACAGCTAACATCATACTCAATGGTGAAAAGCTGAAAGCATTTTCTCTAAGATCAGGAAAAAGACAAGGATGTCGCCTCTCACCACTTTTATTCAACATAGTTTGGAAGACCTAGCCATGGCAATCAGACAAGAAAGAGAAAAGGGATCCAAATAGGAAAAGAAGAATTAAAACAACTGTCATTGTTTGCAGATGACATGATACTATACATAGAAAATCCTGAAGATGTTACCAGAAAACTACAAGAGCTCATCAATGAATTCGGTAAAGCTGCAGGATACAAAATTAATACACAGAAATCTGTTGCATTTCTATACACTAACAACGAAAGATCAGAGAAATTAAAGAAACAATCCCATTTACCATCGCATCAAAAAGAATAAAATACCTAGGAATACAACTACCTAAGGAGGCAAAAGACCTGTACTCCAAAAACTAAGATGCTGATAAAAGAAACTGAAGACAACACAAACAGTAAAGATATAACGTGTTTTTGGCTCAGAAGAATCAATATTGTCAAAATGACTACACTACCCAAGGCAATCTACAGGTTCAGTGCAATCTCTATCAAATTACCAATGGCATTTTTCACGGAACTAGAACAAAAAATTTTTTAATTTGTATGGAAACACAAAAGACCCTGGTAGTCAAAGCAACCTTGAGGAAGAAAAATGGAACTGGAGGAATCAGACTTCCTGACTTCAGACTATACTACAAAACTTCAGTAATCAAAACAGAAATATAGATCAATGAAACAGGATAGAAAGCCCAGAGATAAATTGACCATAGGTGCGTGGGTTTATCTACAACAAAGGAGGCAAGACTATACAATGGAGAAAAGACAGTCTCTTCAATAAGTGGTGCTGGGAAAACTGGGACAGCTACATGTAAAAGAATACAATTAGAACATTCTTTATCACCATACACAAAAATAAACTCAAAACTGATTAAAGATCTAAATGTAAGACTGGATAGAGGAAAACCTAGACAGAACACTCTTTGACATAAATTGCAGCAATATCTTTTTGGATCTGTCTCCTAGAGTAATGGAAATAAAAACAAAAATAAACAAATGAGACCTAATTAAACTCAAAAACTTTTGCACAGCAAAGGAAACCATAAGCAAAGAAAAGACAACCCACAGAATGGGAGAAAATAACTGCAAACCATGTGACCAACAGGGGATTAATCTCTAAAATTTACAAACAGCTCATGTGACTCAGTATCAAAACAAACCCAATGAAAAAATGGGCAGATCTAAATACACATTTCTTCAAAGACGACATACAGACGGCCAATGGGCACATGAAAAGATGCTCAACACCGCTAATTATTAGAGAAATGCAAATCAGGTATCACCTCACACCAGTCAGAATGGCCATCATCAAAAAGTCTACAAACAATAAATGCTGGAGAGGGTGTGGAGAAAAGGGAACCCTCCTACACTGTTGGTGGGAATGTAAATTGGTGCAGCTACTATGGAGAACAGTATGGAGGTTCCTTAAACTAAAAACAGAGTTACCATATGATCCTGTAATCCTACTCCTGAGTATATACCTGGAAAAAACCATAATTCAAAAAGATACGTGCACCCCAATGTTCATCGCAGCACTATTTACAATAGCCAAGTCATGGAAGCAACCTAAATGTTCACTGACAGAGGAGTGGATAAAGAAGATGTGATATATATGTGTATACACACACAGAGGAATGTTACTCAGCCATAAAGAAGAATGAAAGAATGCCATGTGCAGCAACACGGATGGACCTAGAGATTATCATACTAAATGAAGTATAAGCCAAACAGAGAAACATAAATATCATATAATATCGCTTATATGTGGAATCTAAAAAAAAAAAAATACAAATGAACTTATTTCCAAAAAAGAAAGAGACAGACAGAAAACAAACTTATGGTTACCAAAGGGGAAGGGGTGAGAGACAGCTAAATTAGGAGATTGGGATTAACATATACACACTACTATATATAAAATAGATAACCGGGAACAGTGCTTAGAGCTTTCTGAGATGCTCTACGCAGTTATAATCCTCAAATTTGGCTTGAATAAAAATTTCTATTTCTTTTGTAGGAAAAAAAATAAAGACAACTAACAAGGACCTACTGGATAGCACAGGGAACTATACTCAATATTTTATAATAACCTAAAAGGGAGAAGAATCTGGAAAAGAATATACATATGTATAACTGAATCATTCTGCTGTACACCTGAAACTAACATGATATTGTAAATCAACTATACATTCAAAAAAAAAGAGATAAAAACAGATATGGTATGCATTAGGAGACACTGTCCCAAACGGATATAGTGGACAAAGGGTTACTGTCCTTAACATAAAGTAGGCTTATGAATCAAAAAGATAAACCCATTAGATCAATGTAATTTCAGCGTTCACAGAAGATCTACAAACGGCCAATGAATCAACTACAAGCTGCCCAGCCAAAGGCTCCTTTAATTGACACTGGCAAGTAGTGGGGAAAGGGTTTCCTCACACTGTTGGTGGGAGTGTAAGGCAGCCTCTCTGGAGGGTGACTTGTCATTAAAATTTAAAATGCACCCTTGCTTTTGGTCTTGTGTGGGTGCACGTTCACACAGTTCACTGTGTTATGTTTGTAATAGCACTGCAGACAACCTAAATGTCACTGGTAGGCTTTTTTCATAATTCAGCCATTTTCCTAACTATGGAACATTTTGTAGATTTTAAAAAGAATGTGGTACGTCTATATGCAACATGGAAAGAACTACGGGATCTATTTACTGTGAAATTTAAAAAGCAAACCACAGAAATACACTATACATACACACAAATCCTATTTATATAGGTGGAAAACAAGCAAATACAACCTTTCCCTAAGGTTCTTTTTTTTTTTCTCCCTTAGATTCTGTATGCCTGTCTTTAAAGGCAGGTAAATGTCTGGAAAGATACACACGTGTTAGCAGTGGTTTCCTACAGGTAAAGGAGGTGAGTGGAATCTGGGTGGAGTGACAGACTCACTTTTCCTCCGTATACTTTTTCCTCTGTATCATGAATTTTTCTTTATACAATGAGCATATGTTCATGTATTGTATAAAGAAAAAATTAAGAACATTTTCAAAAACAAGACACATTTCTAACAAAATTCTTTCCCCAACATAAAATTGGCTCTCTTGACATAATAAATCATACTTTGATTTTGACATCTACTTGCCTAATTTCTTTCCATTTCCCCCAACATGTTCCTTAAAATTAAGAGCAACCTTGGAGTTGCGATTTAAAGAGCCAGAGCATTTAGCTAGAAGGGTACTACAAGGTCATCAGATGACCGGGAGGACCCAAGCAGGTTTCCCAGATGGTCCTCCAGCCTCTGAGTGATTCCTCTGAGACAGGCCAGGCCTCAGCTCAACAATTCTGATGGTCATGAAGCTTTTTCACAGGGTAGTTTTAAAAATCTGCTTCTTTGAAACTTCTACCCAGTGGTCTATTTGGAATCCTGGTAAGGATAAGGCATGGGCGTTTAAAGTCTGGCGGGAGCTAGTATTTGTTTTCTGTGACAAGACACCTCTCAATTACAATAGAAGGAGACACTGTTAACACTTAATCCTGCAAAATCTGATCAGACTCCTGGGAGTGGATGACACACAACATGGGAGATGCCACAAGTATTCCAACCATTGTTTTAAGTAAAATAGACAGGGAAGAACATTGACTCCAGAGCTGGCCACACCCAGAGCCAGCAGATGCCACTACAACATGGTGACCTTGAGCCAGGTATGTAATCTCTCCGCACCTCAATTTCCTCACCTAAAAAGGCGTCATGAGAGGACTATCTATGCTTCATAGGGTTAAAGATGAAACAGTGAGTGCTGGCCACAGCGCCTGGCTCTTCAAGCACTAAAGAGTATTATTAGCCCTTATAACTGTATTACATCATTGCCTCAGCAAACAAACCCAAAAAACAAATATAATCCCAACGTAACCAAATTTAAGAAACTGAAGAGTTGCTGCAAGTTACTTTTCCTTAGCCACTGAGGTACGTTATCTGGTAGCCACTCTTCAGGACACAGCAGTGAAACATGCATGTCTGTGACTTAGCTCTCTGGTGGCAACCACAGGTACTAGAATCGTACATATTCCCGATATATACATACATGTGCGCTTGTGTGTGTATGAGTATGTTTCAAACACAGATGGCAGCAAACTAGACGCTGTTCTGTACTTTGCTTTTTCATTTACTGATGTTGAAGATCATTCCATATCAGCACATTAAGCTCTACCTTCATTTCTTTTCAACAGCTGTACAGTATTCCATTATATGGACGCACCATCTGTTACTGGACACTTGGATATTTCCTGTCTTTTGCTTCTACAAATAATGCTTCAAGGACTCCTGCTGAACATACACTTTGCATGGATGTATAATTTTATCTGTATAATAAATTTTTAGAACTTGAATTGTTGGGGTCATAATTTTGATAGATAATTGCCAGACTGCCCTTCCAAGAACATATGAGAGTTCCTTTTTTTCCCATACTCCTGTCAACAGTATTATTATCAACCTTCTTGCCCTTTTCCAATTGACAGGTAAAAAAAATTTCACTTCCCTTTTTATAAGTAAGACTCATAAGCCTCTTTGCAAGTTTAAACACGATTTGCATTTCTTTTCTGTGACAGGGCTATCTGTTTTTCGACCATTTCCCCATTGGGTTGTTGGTCTTTTTCTTACTGTCTGGTGATATCTCTGATAATGCACACTACCGTATTTTCCCAGGGCCTCTGATGCCAGCAGGTGACACTACGGGACTGCTTCAAGCCTCAGAGCTTGGACAGTTATTGCTCCCCACTCCCCTTAGATCACGATGGTTTGTTCTATAACCTGCTCAAGACATCAAACAGGAGGAAACAAAGTATACATATGCTATGACAGTCTTCATTGGTGCCTTTCAAAACCCCAAACATGCTGAACCTTAAACTGTATTTCATCAGTACTTTAAATCTGCCATAACTTTAGAGGAAACTGATCTACTCAGTAGAACTCTTACAGCAATTTGTACAGATGTCTTGGACTTAAAGGAATCTGACCGTGTGACTAAAAAAAAAAAAATTAGTTTAAGACAGTAATAACACTGTCTTAAAACCTACAGTAACAGGCAGAAAGAATCTCTACATTTTTAACATCATGATTTCTGGACCAGGGCTGCGAATCTACAGCCACAGCAGACGAGCTCACAAGCACCTGCGGCCACCTAGGGCAGTTACTCCAAGTGTGCCGCACCGCCCGTTTGCACATCCAGGAGCTAGCTAGATAGGCAAATTCTCAGGCCTCACCCCAGACCAAGCGAATCAAAATCTCTGGCGAAGACCCAGGAATCTGTGTTTATCAGGCTCTGTAGGCAATCCTCCTGCACGTTAGTTTTTGAGAGGCACTCAGTAGAGCCTAGATACGTGGGGGCTGAAAAGGCCCCTCAGAACCTGTGCTGCCCCAGCGCAACCGGCAGGCTTCCTAAATGCTGATGATGGCGTCCCGCAGCAGGATGAAAAGCACCTGGGAAGGCTTCTAGAAACGAGGTAAGGGTGTTCTGCACCTGGTCTCCAGGAAGGGCCAATCTGAACACAGTGTGAAGATGAGGGGAGAGGACACAGGAGCTCCCCTTCCACTTGGGGGAGAACAGAGGCTGAGGGTAGGGAAGGCAGCTGTGGTGACAGAGACTTCAAAATCCTCTCCCCCCCGGGGTCTGGGAGAACTTAAGTGAGGCTGGGCAGGTGTCAGCTCAGAGAACTTACACTGTTCCTTCTAGATTCTCCAGCCAATCAGGATAAGGAAAAAAAAAAAAAAAAAAAGCAGGGATTCAGGTCAGGAATCTTTCAGTGCTTTAAAAAAAAAAAAAAAAGGTACATCTAGCTGCAGTGTCTCATGTTTTAACGCCTCTCGGGAACCTATAAGGACAAAGTGAAGTAAATTCCTAACGCGCTGTACTTGAGCATTCAGGGCCATAAAAAATCAACACGTATTAAACCTCTATTTGAAAGTCTCACAGAATCTCTAGACTAAACAGAGCCGAGTTAAAGCACATCAACCTATTTTTAACATGACGTAGCAGTAGAGCCACCTTTTTACCTTGTCAACATTAGCTCGCGTTTTAGCAGATGTTTCCACATAGTTAACATTCCACTGATCGGCTCTGGTTTTTGCCTCTTCTACAGAAACCTGCCTTTTATCTTCCAAATCTGATTTGTTTCCAACGAGCAGAAATGGAACATTCTCATCTTCTTTTACTCTTAAAATCTGCTCCCTGGATAAGAGAAAATGAGCAAGAAATATTAATGTTATCTCTACATGTTAAAATAACAAAACATGCAATTAGCAGTTATTTGTTTCTAGACAATAACAAAAAGCTCACTTATTACCCAGTAGGAAACAAGCAGCACTTCTTCCTTTTTCTACCATCAATGATTTGAGCTCCACATTCACTTCATTCGGAAAAATACACCGAAGAAGAGTATAAATATGGCAGTAGACGTACGAAGTGAATATCAAATGCAACTTCCTCCGAAATGCTTTTTTAAAAATAAACTTTTTATGTTAGAATGATTTCAGATTTACAGAGAAGTTGTGAAGATAGGACAGAGAGTTCCCATATACCCCACATCCAGTTTCCCCTACTGTTAACATTAATGTGGTACGTTTATCACGGTTGATACAAGTATACCTTGTTTACTGCAATCTGCTTTACTGTGCTTTGTAGATACTTTTTTTTTTTTCTTAACAGACTGAAGGTTTGTAGTCACCCTGCATCAAGCAAGTCTATCAGCGCTATTTTTCCAACAGCATTTGCTCACTTTGTGTCTCTGTGTCACATTCTGGTAATTCTCGCAACATTTCAAACTTTTCCATTATTATTATATTTGTTATGGTGATCTGTGATCAGTGGTTTCTGATGTGACGATTGTAATCGTTATTGGCATTTTTGCTTAAAGTGATGCTCCCTTTAGAGTTTGAGAGGCTACTACAGAATTTTAGAATAGGAAAGCACCTTTACAAACTGGTCCAACTTCATTCTTATCAGAAGGAAAGTGAGAATGAAAAAACGTTAACAGAGCTTTCTAATATTTCTATCAAACACTCAATAAGCACTACAAGTTATAGGCCACCAACTGTGCCAAACAGGGGTACTAGAGACACTGAAATGGATAAGAAGAGTTTTTACCATATCAGGAAAAACACATATAAATCAATCTCATGTAAGAGTGCGGCGAGTGTGCTGCTGCAGCTGTGGTAAGCATACCGCACACACACATGAGGAAACGACGGATCCTGCCTGGGTGACGGGAGGCCCAGGAAGGCTAAAGGGAGGAGCTGACAATCGGAGAAATGCAAATCAAAACTGCAATGACGTACCACCTCTCACTGCTCAGAACGGCCATCATTAAAAAGTCTATAACAAATGCTGGAGAAGGCGTGGAGAAAAGGGAACCCTCCCACACTGTTGGTGGGAGTGTAAGTTGGTGCAGCCACTGTGGAGAACAGTATGGAGGCTCCTTAGAAAACTAAAAAGAGAACTACCGTATGACCCAGCAATCCCACTCCTGGGCATACATCTGGACAAAATTCTAATTCAAAAAGATACATGCACCCCTACGTTCACAGCAGCACTATTCACAATAGCCAAGACACAGAAGCAACCTAAGTGTCCATCGACAGATGAATGGATGAAGATGTGGTATATATAGAGACATGTATAGATATATATACACACAATGGAATACTACTCAGCCGTAAAAAGGAATGAAATAATGCCATTTGCAGCAACATGGATGGACCTAGAGATGATCATACTAAGTGAAGTCAGAAACAGAAAGATAAATACCATATGATATCACTTATATGTGGAACCTAAAATATGACACAAATGAACTTATCTATGAAACAGACCCACAGACATAGAGAACAGACTTGTGGTTGCCAAGGAGGAGGGGGTTGGGATTGGCAGATGAAAGCTTTTATATATAGAACAGATAAACAACAAGGTCCCACTGAATAGCACAGAGATCTATACTCAATATCCTGTGATAAACCATAATGGAAAAGGATATGAAAGAATAATGTGTATATGTGTATAACTGAGTCACTTCACTGTACAGCAGAAATGAACACAACATTGTACATCAACTATATTTCAATAAAAAGAAATTAAAAAGAGAGGAACTGACATTGTGCTATACTTTGCAGGTCAGACCGTGTGGAGTGCCTACTATAACCATTCAGATGATCTCAAAAATGGCTTTCCTATTGCTGGTCAGTTAGTAGGAACACTTTTTATTTATGGGAGGGGCAACACACTGGAGGTACAACAGACGAGTAATGAATGATTCACTTATTTTCTGTAACAGCAACAGCCCAAGATTCTTTCTCTTGGCATAAAAATACCTCACTCCCTTGAGATACCACTTTGGCTTTGGTGGCTATGGTGACAAAATATATTCCATTACTTAGTACAGAACCTGCTACATAATAAGCACTCAAAATATTTTTCTGAATGAATGAATAATCACTGACACTTACATAACTTTCAACATGTCTCCCAGGATTACAAAACTCCCTTTGCACTTTATCACATACAAAACTCCTTCCTTATAGAAGCCAACAAACTTAATGTTACAAATAAATTTATATTTTTAAAGTTTCTCAATGACATGCTTTTTTGCAAAGGAGGTGCTTTTAGAATCTTTTAAGTTCTTGAGAGTTTCATGTATACATAAAAAGGAATGCTTTGTGTAACCCTTGCTTCAGTTTCTTGCTCAACCACCAGGAATGACCTCTTTCCTCATCTGTGGAAATCCTTCTTATCCTTCAGGGTTACCTATCTCTTGAAGGCCTCCCAGCTCCTCTCCTCTCCTGGATCCTCTGTAACCATCACTGGCCACATCTCCTACTTTGTCGCTAACTTCCACTTGGTTTCATGACTTATTCAACTCAGCTGCGTGAATCTTGAAAACAGAGGATATATCACATGCTGCCTTGGTGTGCCCCACGCCAAAGCAGACAACGCAGAAATAAAAATATACAAGTAAAGGATGCTTGTGATTAAGCATGCCGTCTTTTTTTTTTTTTTTGCGGTACGTGGGCCTCTCACTGTTGTGGCCTCTCCCGTTGTGGAGCATAGGCTCTGGACGTGCAGGCTCAGCAGCCATGGCTCACGGGCCCAGCCGCTTCGCGGCATGTGGGATCTTCCCGGACCGGGGCATGAACCCGTGTCCCCTGCATCGGCAGGCGGACTCTCAACCACTGTGCCACCAGGGAAGCCCTAAGCATGCCGTCTTTACGAGACGACTCAAGAACTTATTTATGCTATATTTCTCTCAAGTATGGAGAGAGCCCCTCTCCCCTTTACCAGCCCCCTGGCCCCCCTGCCCCAAACCAAATGGAGGACAGATTTTGATTACACAAACAGTAAATAAGATGTAAAAAAAATACTGTATAACAAAACCTAGTATGCCAATCTATGGTGGTATTATTTCTACTAAAAGTTCAGTCCGTGCTGTCAGTGAGGTGGA